AGAGCTTTCTCCCACCTGCATAACCAACATGTGGTTGCTCCCTGAGCACAGTTATTTTGCCCTCTAGTGCTCTTTTGGGGTGATACCCCACAGTGATATAAAAGACAAAACTAGCTAGAGAGGGAAGGAGAGCACTGCCCGACCTGGCCAAGTGCCATGGCTGCTTTGCACGTCATGCTCCTCATCTGTAAGAGGAAAGCAAACCCACCTCGATGAGTCGCCATGAGGGCGACAGAGAGCACAGGTGTAAAGCCTACTGCCTGGCAGTGAGAAGGCCCTCTATGTCTTAATCCCCTGGGCCTTTGACAACAAGGAGAAAGGGCAAGGAAGGGTGATGGTGGTGCCATTTCCGAGGCATGTTGCCATCCCTCTTCCCATAAACAGCCCCTGTTGTGAGTTGTATTTCCTTCCAAAATTCATAGGCTGAAATCCTAACCCCCAGTACCTTAGAATGTGACCTTATTTGGAAATAGAGTCATTGCAGATGTCATTAGTTGAGTTGAAACCATTAGGGTGGGCCTTAATCTGACTGATATCCTTATAAAAAGGGAAGAAATTTGTACATAGAAACATGCACACAGAGAATTCCATGTGAAAAGTAAAGAGAGGCGATACTTCTATTAATACAAGCCAAGGCATAGCAAAGATTACCGAGAAACCACCAAAAGCTAGGGGAGAAGCCTGGAACAGATTTTACCTCATGGCCCTCGAAAGAAACCAACGCTGCTAATTCTTTGACCTCAGACTTCCATCTTCCAAAACCATCACACAATAAATTGCTGTTGTTTAAGTCACTCAGTTTGTGGTATTTGGTTACAGTGGCCCTAGCAAACTAATACACCTACAGAGATGGCTTCTATTAGTGACATCCAAGAAGACATGTCCAGATAGAAGGAGGCACTGCAGTTCCACAGAAAGGGTGGGGGACATTTGAAAACCCTGAGAATGCTTTTCCATGGGCCACCAGCTCAGCAAGTCTGTCCACCTTATACTGTCCTGAACGAACAAGTTGCCATTAAGAACATACATCTACTCAAAGTCCTGGAATATTTAGGAACATCATTTATTAGATATAATTTTGTATCTTCTGGTGCTACTTTGTGATTTTCTTTCCATGTGTACGTATCCATGTTTTCTTTTGCCAACTGAATTGCAAAGTCTTCAAGGGCAAGGACCATGTTACAAACCTCACTGGGAGTCGGGAGTCAGGTGGTAAAATTCCCAGTGTGAGCTTAGGCATGTCATCTTTCCTTTCTGGGCCTGGGTTCCTCATCTGTACAAAGGAATTATCATCACTGAATTCCCTCCGGTTATGATACTCTGTGATTCTGACTCCATGAATACTTGTTATGTAACCAAACTGACTGCTTGGGGCGCAAAATGGAAAGAAAGGCCCAGGAAACTCATCTCCTAGATGTGCTGGGCAGCCAGTCATCTAGGGTTAAAGGAGTGAGACTCATTTAACAAGGGGGCTAGACTTTGAGGCTTGAGCAGTGATATAGCACACCAGGGGCTCCAAGCCCCACTGGGTCCCTCCCTTCCTGGACTCCAAAGTCCTCCTGCTTTGGCATCTGCCTTGCTAGGAGGCCATTCTCTTAGTGACCACTGAAGTTTTGTGTACATGGATGCTGTACTGAGTGTGCCGGGCACCATGCCCATGGCAGGGCTGGGCTCCTGCGTACCCTGCAGAAACCTACTGTCTCTGCTTTGGGCGTTTGAGGAGTATTGCCTTTCCAATGAGTTACAGCATTTGGGTGAACCACTTTTCGTGTCTTACCTTGGGGGGAATCACAGCATGCCTTAGTCTCCACTATTGAGCAGCTTGGACCTAGTCAAAGAATATTTAATGGCAAACACCCCAGAGGCCTGGGTATCTGTATAAATCGTGCCCCAGGAAATAGGGACTCGCACAGACCAGTCCAAGTAGTGACAATAGTGTACAGGGAGGGAGCCAGGGGCCTTACTATACAGTAGTCACAGGATGGAATCTCCTAGAAATCACGAAGGCTAGAAACCCCCAAAGACAAGCTTCACAGAAGCTGGTTCTGAAAGGTCATCTTAGTTCTGCCGACCTCACTCTGGCTCTCTGCGGTTAGTGCAACTGAGTTACTCTCCAGGGGTCAGCTTCTCTCGTCTTCTCTTCCCTATTCTAATTCTCTTACTGTTTTCAAAGCATACTTCTGGTAGAACAGAAGACAATTTGTTATTAATTATCACTACGAGTGAGACAGAGATAGAAATGGAAACCCAGATCCCAAAGGGAATATGCCCGAGAAGCCTGAGGCCTAATAACTGCATTGAGCTGGTTAAAGTTCTACCAACAACCAGTTGTGTGACCTCTGACTAGTTGGATACTTCTTAGCTGTGTGACTTTGGACAAGTCCCTGCCTCCACTTCCCCATTTCTAAAATGGAACACGTGCATCTATTTCTCCCTCCCTCAGGAAGGAGCAGGGGCCTGTTCTCCACTCTCCGTTCCAGGCACGCGGTGGCCGTGGGCAAGTTTCTTCACCTCTCCTGCCTCAGTCCCTCCATGGGTCAGAGGAGAGACTTGAATGAGTGATCGTCACCACCCCATCCCTTCCAGCTCCTGAGTAGCTCTACTTGATTTTAGGCTCCCTGCCTCGCTGGGCCTAGCCCTATGCACACGCTCACCACCCTTATCCTCAGAAACCTTTCCTCTAAAAATCCCACAATGCAGAGAATAACATCACCCATACTGTAAGGTAAGTATCTGTTAAAAGTTGCAATCATGTCATACTTTTGCAATAAAAAATTCTATATTCTCTTTTCCCTGGCTTATCTGTTTAGAGACATTTTCTTTTTACTTATTATTGGTTGTTGATTGACTGCAGTCACTGGCTTTTTATCTCCCTTTTTGTTTAAATGCCACCCACGTATCTGCCCTACTCTCTATTAAACAGTAATAACACACAAACAAACTTGGAGGGACTCTGGGAGCAAAGGGATCCTGGGGCTGGCTTCCCTCAGGCCTGTGAATTGTCATTCCTGGAGCCGTCTGTTTTGTAAGTTCTTCTGCCAGGTTTCTATGGGAGCAGAGGGATCATTTTCTCCCATTTCAAAGAGAAGGGTGAGTTGAGGCCTCGAGCTGGCAAGTCCTTTAAAGTCCTTTTCAAAGGAAACCTGAGCTGAAAGGCCAGGCAGCCGGCGGAGGACGGTGTGCTTTTCTGAGGCTCTCTGGGGCTTTGGGTGGTCAGCTCCCATAGGCTTCCCAGCACGTGCTCGGAGCCTGCTACAAGGGCGCTGCCAAGGGACACCACTGTCCAAGCAGTGGACAGCCCCAGGGAAGGGCTCCACCTCACGCCCCCTCCCACCGCTGCCCAGGAACAAGAAGACGGGGTGCGGACTCCTCCTCTGGGCCGTGACCACAACCACACTTGCCCTTCCTGTTCTCAGGTCCTGTCAATCAAACTTGATCCTTGGGGTGTTTTGAGGTAAAATAAAGCTGGGTGCCAAAGCAAGCAAGGGTGAGCTTATGTCGAATCACGGAATCGTAAGTGGTCCGGTTAAGCCAATCCCCTCAGGGACAGGTTGGGAAGGGCACCCAGAGAGGAAATGGTGATCCCAAGTCACACGGGAGGAGGTGGCTGAGTTCTACCACAGGGCCCTGTGGACAAAGAGCACCTCCGCAGGGACAGAGGTTTGCTTGGCCACTAGCCATTCGTGAAGCTTCTGAGTCCACAGATGTCTGTCAATCACACGGCAGACACCAAGAAGACTCCAAATGCGGGGAGGCCGAGGAACGCACGTGTGACTGGGGCCAGACGCCTTCACACTTTCCCATGAAGCTGTGTGGGGAGAAGTTGTTCATGAAGCTCGGAGGCAGAGGAACCTTCTCACCTCACAGAATGGGCAAACCAAGCAAGGCCCAGAGGAAGAGACTCATGTCTATGTGTGTCAGAAGAGCTAGAATCACAGGCAATAGAAGCTCAGCCTGGAGCTGAGTGGGTGGCCCACCCAAAACCCCCACCTGAGCTCCTCAGGACCAGGGGCTGGAGTCTGCAGTCCATCCTGGCACTGGGAGCCTAGTGTGGGTCCGTGCCAAGCGACCAGGAACAAGCCCCAGCCTTATCCCAAATGAAGCTCCTTTCTGAGACTGCACCAGCCAGCAGCCTTGCCCTCCGAGAGCCTTTCCCACTAGACTACGAGCCCAGGAAGTCAGATCCACTCCGGTCCCCATTCCAACACAGAGAAAGACCTCCCGAACGAGCCAACTTGACTTTTCAACATTTTATTCTTATATTTGTACAGCTATATTTTACAATGCGGTAATGCAGTTTAGACACAGCCAAACCCTGTCTCCGGAGTAGTTATAACACAAGCATGACGCAGAATGGGATGAGACAAACGTTCCCAAAGAGAGTTTAGTTAGTGACAACTTCAAGTCCCTGTGTCTGCCTACACTTCAAAAAGGGATGGCGCACACTCGTCCATCATTGAAAACTTCCGTGAAAAAAGGCACCGTGAGGACACGTTGTACAGGTATATACAAACTGAAAACTAGAACAAAATTACACGTTTTTCCTTCTGCAGCTTTTTTTTGTTCTTTTTGTTTTTTTAATACACACTTTGTAAATTGTAAACCTTCACTTGCAAAAAAATACAAATACACTGAGGCATTTTAGACAAAATATTTTCTTACTTATACAGATGCAATACTTAAAATATTCTCTTAAGTGCTCTTTCTCAATAAAGATTCTCAGATCCGTGTCTGCCTGCAGATACAAAATCGAGCCTTTAACGCAGTTTTATATTCTTAATATATCTTTTTTAGGTTTATATATATTTATTTTATATATATTGCTAGGAGGCCATTCTCTTAGTGACCACTGAAGTTTTGTGTACATGGATGCTGTACTGAGTGTGCCGGGCACCATGCCCATGGCAGGGCTGGGCTCCTGCGTACCCTGCAGAAACCTACTGT